TCATTCGGCGCACGGATCCATAGCTGCCAGCGCTGCATACTGTCGTAGGACGTTCCCGCGGTCGCGTGCGCCTTGCCGCGGAAATGCGCGCAAGATCTGCGCTTAGCGCTTTGGATTAACACCTCCTTTCGGCAACGCTTTTCTAGTATCCCGTCTCATCTTGTTCTCACCTGTTAGTGTTAGCATGTACGTAATACTGATTTAATGTCAAAATCCTGTGGAACAAGTGCATCTGATTATGGGACATAAATTGTTCTAGACTGGTATCGTATCTCAACGTGTAGACAAAGGTAACATGTGGGCACCAGTTGATTGCATCTCACGAGATGCAAGAATTTGATGTTATTGGTGTTGAAATAAATAAACATCTAATTTTAAATGTAGATCATTGCACATATTGGTAAAAATAATTATGTGTAAGTGTTCTAAGGCATGTTAGTCATATGGTATACAATTGGTATTATGCAAGACATACCAGTAGGTATTGGAAAAGCCAGGAAATATGATACCAATTGACTAAACATGTAAAATCTATGACACAGTTTTACATGCTGAGACAAAATCTATTGGTCTGTATTAAAGTGATTTAAGTCACCTTAAATAGTAAAAAATAAAAAAATATATTTCCACTTTTTCACAAAATATAAGTAATTCTGTTCACTTTTTATGGTTAAATTGCTGCATTATACTTCTTATTTTACTATATTGTTTGATGTGAACATGCACTTGTGACTCATACATAGCCCATAGCAAGCAATTAATGTCAGGAACACAATATCAAATCGTCCAGGTTTTTTGGATTTTTAACTAGTTGAGAAACAATCTTATCAGGTAAGAATTTGACGATACGTTTAGTCCCGTTAGTTCTTACTTTTAATGTAAAGAAATGGCAACAAAAATTTTACAAATTTTACCATAGAAAATTCGTGACGTAGTCAATTTAAAGTAACCCCACATAAAAAGTTATTAATGCTTTTACTAAAAATTATTGTTGCCACCAATGCTATTTCCATGGTCTATTATAATTTGGTCAGCTGTTGTCAGCCCAAAGATTATCTTTAATCATGATTGCATAATCCAGGTTACATATATTATATAAATATATATATAATATATAAATTATAATAGCACATATAAAATATATATGTGCTAATCAAAATTGGTTGCAAATATTTTTTCAATATTTCATGGCATGTATTCAGTGAGTGATCCTTTCTTTGTAGTCTTCATTTACACATGAAGATTACACAGCAGCAGCCGAACTGATGGAGGGGTTGGACACCGCAGAGTTTGATAGCGACTTTGATGAAAGAGAAACAGCTGATATTGGTGACCTAGCAGTAGAGGCAATCCTGGTAGATGACTATGGTGAAAAATATTTCCAAATCACTCTTTACATTTTTGTTGAGTAACATGTTACCAGTTGATTTACTTGTGTGCTTAATGTTTGTGACAGCAATCTTTGTCCTAGGGAAACAAAGCCGATTTGGTTCACATGATGTTTATTTCCAATTACTCTTATAGATGATTTATTGATTATCTTGTCATACATGTATGTACACATTTGTGATGACTGTCAGATAGAAGGCTATGGTACACCTGAATGTTTTCACAAATTTCAACTGCGTGGTTACAGCGCAGTTCACACATTTTTGTGGTGCCAGTGACCAGGCAGTTTTGTTTCATTAACACAGGTAGCTGCCATTCATGTTTTATGATAATGTTAATTATTTATTGATTGCCTATAAAACAAGTTTCAGCATCAACTGTCCCTAAGACTATGTTATTCTGTATTATTATGTCGCATTAGCGAACACGTTATAGCACCTAACCATGTAATTTACATGTGCATATCATAATGCAGATGGACTCCCACCAGCACAGGAGTACATTGACGTGCTTCGACAATATTTTGGGCACAATCGGTTCCGACCGCTGCAGTGGAAAATCATTAACACTATAATAAACGAGAAAAAAGATCAATGCTGTGTAATGGCTACAGGTATGAATTCGGTGTATTGTGTAACAGAATGTTATATATGTATATATATATAAAGGATTCTCCCCGGGCCTAATGTTAGGTCCGACATGCCTTAATTTTGCAGCTGCATTTACTTTTGACAATCCCAACACAGTCGTGCTGTTTTTATAGCTTGATATATACATTTCTGAACTGATCTAATTTACCTGTATTAGGTCTGCTTATGACATACCTAACTGATTCCAATTGGTACAACCCCATCCTGGATTTTGTCCATCCGTCTATACATGACATGCCTTCAGAAATTAATGGGGAGAAATTCATGGGGAAATCGTTACACTATCGATTACACTATCGATCGCGTTTACTATCGCGTTTACTATCACGACACTATCGATCGCGTTTACACTATCGATTTTTGTCAGCAAATCGTCCGAGTCATGCAAAATAGAACAAGTTCTATTTCTCCAACTCGGCGACTTGACTCCGACTTCGACTCCAACACTATCGAATTTCAGCCGATTAGTTGGAATGCACTTGAAATCGGTTTGCGGACAAAAGTCGATAGTGTAAACGCAGCATTATATATGTGTGTATTGTGTGTAAATATATATAAGCGCTGAAGGGAAAATGACCAACTAGTTGTTGACTAAGTCATGTAATCGGTTTAATATAAATGAGCAATGTATGTGCTTTTACATTCCCTGCATTATTTGATGCACTTAAAGAATTGTTCTCTTCAATACATTTCTTGACTGACATTGCTAGTACAGAAGGCACATTTTTCCTGCCATTCACAGGCTACGGCAAGAGTCTCTGTTACCAGTTTGCATCAGTCTACACCGGAAGAACGACTGTTGTTATCTCCCCACTGATATCACTGATGGAAGATCAGGTGATGGCACTCAGGTGAGCTTTACCTGTACATCATTGGTTTGCAACATCATATTTTATGCCAAATGATAGAATAATATGTGGGTAGTCTAAACATATTAAAACCATAAATATAATGTCTCTAACATACTTCAAGTAATGAAGCTCTGTGAAAGTCAACCCTGTAAGAACTCACGTTAAACTGCAGCTTGCTTGGGTAGCCACGGAACAAAGTATACGCGATTGCTATACATTAAGTTCCTACATAACAACATCTGATTTAAGGCCCGTCTCCACACACATGGCTCGGAACGGCACGGCGCCGTTCACCCCTACCGGCAAAGTTCAAATCTGTTGTATATTAAGGCGCAGTCTCCACTGACACGGCACGGCGCCAGCCCAGTCACGGCGAAAGTCAAATGTGTTTGACTTTTGCCGGATGTCGTGTACGGAGAAAGACAGTTGAACCAATCAACGCAATTGTTTTTTATCACGTGTTCTGCTCACGTTACCATCGGCCAATGGACAACAAGCACATGTATGCATAATTTCTGATCATTGAACCAGAGTGAACACAATGCGCTCAGATACAATGCGCTAAATCACAATGCATTTTTTTTTCAGCGCAACGGCGCTGCGTTTTGCTGTGCCGTGTCTTGCCGCGTGTGTGGAGACATAGCTTTACATGTATCCAAGATGGCCGATGTTATTGCCACTTATTTAAGTGCGTCCAAACACAAAAATTGATCGAATTTTGCGTTAGCCGCACTTATAAGTGTGTCCAAGATGCACATAGCTCCATTGCCCACACTTATTTTAAGTGCGTCCAAAGCTAAAAAAATTTCCTTGCCCAAAGTTATTTTAAGTGGTACTTTCTAAAAACCGGAATGGAATCAACTGGCACGGCGAGCGGCACTTATAAGTGTGTCCAAGATGCACATAGCTCCATTGCCCACACTTATTTTACGTGCGTCCAAAGCTAATTTTAAAGGGGCCCTGTATTCATGGTATTACTTCCCCATTCTGCGGTTGTGGTTGTTATTATTGGTAAACCTTTCTCCTTTGTTGGGTGGATTTTGGTGGATTTGGCTATAGTTGGTACAGCGCCACCTATTGGGTAGACCTGTCAAAATATTGAATACAGAGCCCCTTTAAGTGTAATGGTCATCAACTGGAATATTGCTATCTCTCCTGACATACTTTGCAGTGCTGTAGTGGGGACACCACAGTATTCTTTCATCTTAACAGCACCTGAGGGAGTAAGCTACATGATGATAAACAAGAAGATAGAAATTTTCATTATTTCGTTTAACATGTTTAATTACAAAAACTTAAAAAGTACATTTTTGTTAAAAAAATCCAAGGCACAATCTGGTGGCCAAGGGAAAAATTTAGCACTGGCCACACTTATAAGTGCGGCCAAGGGAAAAATTCAGCATTATCCGCACGTAATCAAAATAAGTGTGGCGAAGGGAAAAATTCAGCATTATCCGCACGTAATCAAAATAAGTGCGGCCAAGGGAAAAATTCAGCATTATCCGCACGTAATCGAAATAAGTGTGGCCAAGGGAAAAATTCAGCACTGGCCACACTTACAAGTGGGAATTGTCACTTCCATCCAAGATAATGAATGATACTTCCTTATGTATTTTAATAATAGAGATACGTACTAACTAGATAGAAAGACTAAAGATATAAAGAAACAAATCAGATATATAAGTAAACTATATACAGTACAGCATTGATCTGCCTTGTATACAGCATTTGAATTATGGCTATCTTTTAGTGTGGTAAACATCGAGGCATGTTTCCTGGGCTCGGCACAGCGCCAGATGGGTGTGGTCAGGCAGAAACTGCTGGCAGGGGGTTACCGGGTAATCTACCTGACGCCAGAGTTTGCTAGAAGTGCATCTGACTTGCTGGTGCAGCTCGAAAAAAGTGTTGGTAAGTGGCTTTGCTATGATTTCATTTAGTAAAATGCGTTGCAAACTAGACCTATTTACGGTCGATCACATTTTTGAGACATCAGTCTTTATCAATACCCAGCTTTGAGCACAAACTTGTTTGTTCTTTAGTTCTGAGGAATGCTGGTGGATGTATTGTAGCATATAAATGATAGGTTGTTAAAGTGCCATTGTGTCTGTTTGTGAAATTTATTGCTAATTCTACATGTGATATATCATGACAGTCATTTCATCATGTCATGACAGACATATCATCAATTTCCTGGCTTATATTATTGAATCATCACATTTTTAGCTCACCTTGACATCGTCAAGCTGAGCTATTGCCATGGGTCGTCGTCCGTCGACATTTGGCTACGGTCAACGATAACTCAGGAACCGTTTCATCCACATGTTTGAAATTGCGTATAGTTGTTACTGCTATGCTCCCATATTAAACGTCCTATTTTGGAGCACGCCAGTCGACGTACTTTCGAGCTACGGCAATTTTTTGTCAAAAATGGGAATTGCTATTAGTCAGTTCAGGTTCAACGGATTTTGCTCATTTTTGGTATGTGAATGAATAAGGGCTAGGGGTTTTGATATTAAAAAAAAATATTATGCAAATTAGGTAGGGTTTGGCAATTATATAGCATATTATATAGACACGCAGATAACAAACAGTCTGTGGTGTCACACTCGTCTGGTTCGTTTTACAAGATTTTATTGACAATATCTTTAATGCAAAATTCCTGCTATGAACATATTATGATTTATACTATTATTATTATATTATTATTATTATGATATAATGATTTATGCTAAGAAACATCAAAGCGGGTGTAGCGCCATCTACCGTCACAAATTGTGATTCATTTTGGTTTATAAATTATTTATAATTTATATATAATATTATTTATTATTTTCACATAAAAAATTACACATATAATTATCAAGAGTATATAATGGGAGTTCTCCCATATATACTCTTCGTTTCTATAATGTACGTCGATTTTTGGTCAATTAAAACTGACTTTTTCTCACTCACTCATTTGTGTCCTTTTTTGTGGTGAGCTACAGTGTCATTGACACTTTCATATTCATTTTAAATCTTTTGTAACTCTACTGTTCTCTATTAATAAAGACAATCACATCTAAATTTAGATTATTCTGGCTGAGAATAACTTGATTTGAACTTTTATACAAATGGATGCATAATTATTTATTAAATAATTGTATGATTTATCGTTTGTGAGTTCTATAGTTGAATTACATGTAACATATAGACTTAATATGTGTGATTTTAATAGCCAGAAAATATATGGAGCATTTACTGTTTTACTGTGAAATTTTATTGTTTTTTATTGAAGGCAAATAACTGTTAATGCAATTGTTAATTACAATACAGTAAAATCAGATTCTGAAATCCATGTTAAAATAGTTTATTTTAAAGACATCTCACATTACATACAGAGATTTGTGTGAATATTATAGATAGCAAGATTTACTAAGCATTTAGAACATTCCATTGTATTATTGACCATGGTTATAGTGCCCAATGCAGTACTGCTGGTTATGGTTACACTTCCCGTTGTACTGTTGTTGGCTCGAGTTAAGGTTCCAATTCCAGTGTTGTTAACCTGTGATTAGGGTTCACAGTATAGTACTGCTGGCTATGGTTGGGTTTCTCCTTGTAGTGCTGTTCACTGTGGTTAGGGCTCCCACTGCAGTGTTAATTGTTTGTCCTCGATGGTGCATCCTTGGTGGTGGTTTATTTAAAACCCGTAGACGTTGCTTGCGTCGTGGCGGACGCACTCTCACCTTGGCCTGCAGCAGGGGCACGCTGACGTGCACACCGTAGTGGCAGCGCACCTTGAACGCGACGTCGCCTCCCAGCATCAACCCGGCTATCTGCGACACGACGACGTTGAACGAGTACTCGCCCGCGTTTATCACCATGCCGCACGTGCCGTGCGCGACCTCGAGACTCCTCGCCGTTGCCGCGGCGGCGCCCCCTGGAGGCGGTGTGGCGCGGCACGCCAGCGTGCGGTAGTGACGTCGAACGTAGAAGCTGCCGTGAAAGTCGTCGTCGAACGTGACGTCGAGCGTGATTGACGTGTGGCCGCAGGTGACGCTCGTGTCAACGATCGGTGGGGTCAGCGACGCGGCCGCGTGCAGCAACGCGACGGCTACGATCACGTGCCACAGCCTGCGTGACCGACCCATCACAGTGTTCATCACTCGATGCATCTAGATGAGTGGCCTGTTGGGGACCGTTCCACGTCACGGGTTTCCACAATGTGAAGCTTCGTAGGGCAGTATGACAACTTAATTGCTAGATCGAAGTTCCGTGATGCAATACTGTAAGGCAGTCCGAGTCTGGCAGATCAAAGATTTGTTACGCAGTACTTTGCAAGACAGTTCGACAACTGAGTAGATCGGAGTTCTGTGATGCAACACTCTGTAAGACCTGAGTTTGGTAGATCGGAGTTCTGTGATGCTACACACTGCTCTTGTATCTTCTTTTGATGCACACCGTTGATGCAAACTCCGTTGATGCAAGACTTCGTAAGAGTCTACACTCTCAAGAGCTTGCTAGATCTGTGGTGGAAGCTTCGTCAGACGGTTCAGCAGCATGTCAGTCCTATCGTCAGAGTCCTGTTGATAATCACGAGTCTCTTTCAGAATGACGCTTCACCGAATAAATTCGCCGTGAACTGGAATACTCTTGCGTTTTCTCGTCGTGTTAATGCACTGGACCATATAGCTACATTCGCATCCGTTTTCAGCACTAGTGTGTAGCCACTGATGAGCAAAAGAACACTGGCAGTGGGAATGTCCGCTAACGGCTTGCTTGCTTCCAAGCCATTGTGCTTTTTGGTAGATGAATTCCTAGTAAACCAGTGTGGCTATATATCCAGCGATTACCACAGCAGGTTGTTGACTCTGCAATCACAGTCCCAGATTGTCACGTCCAGAAGTAGTACTGAGAAAACACCATCTACTAATTTGTAAAGACACACGTACTTGCTGTCAGACAATAGCCAGGACTGGCACACCTAGCTGCTTTTCATACAATGCTGGGCTGGTATCATCTGGCTCCAAAGAGAACGTAACAATGGCACCATTTTTCACCATACAGCTGCAATTGTTCATATTTCTTCTCATGGTTCTTTGTCTATACAACACATACGTAGTTTTCTATAGTTCATGTGCTGTATATGTCCACCAAAATGTAAATGTATCTAATGTTGCTAAGCCGAGTATACTATAGGAAATTTATTATAGGTTACAGAATTTGTGTAGTGCTGTGGATGTCATGCCTCAGATGTAAATATTATAATCACAGTTATGCGAATATACGTTTTTTAACATGTGTATGAATTTTATTGCAGGAATAGATCTCGTGGCCATAGATGAAGCTCACTGTGTATCACAATGGGGGCATGATTTCCGTGCTGCATACCGACAGCTTGGTTCTCTACGCAAACTCCTGCCTAAGGTTAGATTATCCAAGAAAATCTTTAATAAACATATATGAACATGAGTTAGTTAGAAACTCTTAAGGTATATCTTAGAATTTAAAAGACTGAAGATTGAAAAAAGACTGCAAACTGCTGGGACGAGTACATTGTAGAGGGGCTAGCTTCGTAAGAAATGATTACACGTCGAAAGATCCAGGCAGCATGATAAAGATGCTAGTCGTTGTAAACTTTCCAACCCTAGCTTCATGAGGCAGGGTTACCAAAATGCACAGCCTACAATGTGGCCGAGGTGTTAGTTCCAGTTCTTATAATTTTATTAAACCACTATAATCTAAAAAAAAATTAAAGGAAAAAATAATCACTGACTTTGACATTGTAAATATAATAGAAAGGGAAGCCTGCAATCACTCTAGATGTTTTACGGTAGAACGTAGCACAACAGAACAATTTCAACATTCACTCTCATAAAAACAACAATAGACTGGAACCATGCAGCGCTGCCTGGAGGATGTGGCGATAGCCACATCACCTGAGACTTTCACAACAGCCGCGGAGAAGCGTTATTATCGGTTCTGCTAATTAATGCCCCCTCTTATAGTGTATGGTTTTGTGTGGTACCGTAATCATGTAGATATATACCCTGTGAACATGTCAAGTAATGTTAAAAACTTGGTACACATAAGCTTAATTCTGCTGTTACCCAGAAGTCGTCTGTGATCGCTTAATTACTATTTATTCTGCCTGTGAGTACCAGCTAGTACTCATCAGGAAAAGTGACTATAATAAACTATAGCAGGGAACAATTTCCAGCCAAAAATTTGCATAGCAAATGTGCTATACAAAATAAATTTTGCATAGCAATTGGATAAATTTGTATAGCATTTTTTTTCAGACAATCACAGTGCAAATTTACACCGCAGTGCATGCTTGGCGTGTTATCGTGTCTGCCTGTGACAGGCACAGCTAGCTTAAGCCTAGGACACACTAGCGATTCTGCATGCTGCCCGGCAGCGTTTAAACAGCTTGCGAGCTTGGCACTCGTCCGCTCGCCAATGTCGAGTGAAAATAATATGGGGTCGGGCGAGTGAAAGCTAAAGCTGACTCGCCCATGTTGGCGAGTAAAAATAATTGTCTAGAACTTTAATCAAATGTTGGTTCCTTACGTTATATATCCAAACATTGATGAAATACAGTTCTAGCGATTGTGAAGGGCGGCTATCTGACTCCTCGACCACGACATCCTCACTTTATATTATCAAAGGTCGCCGAAGAAAGCAGCCCGCGAGAGCGTGCAGCACCAGCACAGCGTGGCTGTGTATACGTGCCTGGGGCGGCATATTGATTGATGTACGGGGGGGGGGGGGAGTGCAGGATTGTTTAAAAGTCACGTTGGCCGTGGTGTTAACAAATCAATAAAATCGGCGTAACGTGGCATTTCATTGACGCGGCAAAGCAGCCCGAGAATAAAAGTAAATTGTAAACATGTATGTTTCCGTTTACATCTCGCATGGGCTGCATCGCACAACTGCGATTCATAAAAAAATATGCGTAGCAAATGGCTGAAAATACATCGCGAATTGCGATGCGATACCGGGAAAATTATTCCCTGTATAGTACCTCAATCTCATTCATATTGAACTGCTGCATAGATGAATGCACGATGACACGTGCAGACACTCCTATAAAGATACTCATGAAGAGACTGCTTGTAAAAAAAGGGCATTTCAAACTAATAAGCTATGGTTTTATGTTTAAAGGGATCGTTTACCCTAGGTTCTAGGGTTATTTTCAGTTAATTTAGGTTAAAATTACGCTACATAAAAAGTTTCATGGTTTAATCATCATAGGAAATATTATTAAAAAATGTTTTAAAACTAACGACTACAGTTTGATTACAACGACAGTGGCGCCACTCAAAGCGCACGATCTGATAAGTTGCGCAAAACCACTTTCCAGCCAAGGGCTACAGACCGAGGGTGTTTCTTATTTATTCATTTAAAAGCAAAAGGATTGTAATATCTTATAAACGACATATAGTTTCAGTTATAATATGGATAAATTTGCCCTAAAATGAATATCGTTCGGTTAAATAGCATTTAGGTATAAATATAATTGCACTAGTCTTTTGTGATTAGCCCTCGGTCTGTAACGTGCAAAATAAATTATCAAATATGCAACTTTTTTGGGGTGGCAGCACGGTCGCGGGTGTCATGGCGCCGTTCAAATTTCGTAGCGTTGATGTGTAATTAATTATAACAATTAAATTAGGTATCTGGTAACAAATACGTGTGGGTATAAACGATTTGTTATACAGTAAGTACAGTTGTATGCAGTAAAATCCTAGAGGCTACTGTCCCTTTAATTGAACTTATGACCACACGTGTGCATGCATCATGATATAAATCATGAGTGACTTAATTACTCGTAGGTGCCATTCCTTGCTGTCACAGCAACGGCCACACCGGAGGTCAGGCGTGACATCTGCAAGTCTCTCCATATGAAGGATGCTGTGCAATGGACCACCAGTTTTGACAGGTAACAGCAATCAAGGAGCACTGGATTAAGGAGAAGCAGAAGATACACGTTTGGAGTGTTATAGTGTTATTGCCTTATTGGGGATATGTAATGTACAATTAAAGTGCTGTTATCTATGTAGTAAAATAGTGCCAATTGTAATTTCATATACAGTAGGTGTAGACAGTGGTGCCTAATTCCACCAAATTCCTCGTAATACGAGTTTATTGCTTTAAACCACAACAATAATTAATTGCTAAAAGGACACTGGTATGCTATATCATGCATACATTTTTGTGTTAGTAATTGGCAGCCTAAAGTTGTCAATATAACAATCCTCAGATGTATTTTACTTGATTTGGCTAAGTAATCACCAACTGTGCCTGTGATGTAAATCAGTATGCTAACGGTTTGGTATCGCAATGCTGGACAATAGATATGCAATCACTCTAGATGTTTCACAGCAGAACATGGCATCACAGTCCAATTTCAACATTCATTCTCATAAAAACAATAGACTGGAATCAGCTGCCTGGATTATGTGGTGATAGCTTTAGGATTGTGGTTGGATCTAGTGATTTTTTAACCATTTGATTTTTGATTTTTCACACATGACTTTTATTTTATTTTTTACAACCCAGGCCTAACCTATTTCTATCATCAACGATGAAAAGTGGCAACATTGGCAAAGACCTGCAGAGCCAGATGGCTCGAGGAGCGAACCAATTTGATGGACCAACAATCATTTATTGCCCAACAAAAAAAGCAACTGAAGATGTTGCTAAAGTCCTGGAATGCAAGTACTTTTAAGAAAAAAATTTGCTTGCTGTATATACGTAGCCATAATAATAATGTGACAGTTTATAATTTCACATGCATGTATAGAAGTATGTTGTTTTACATGAATATTCATTCAAAAGTCGTATATTTTTATATTATTTTAGTTTGCTGTTCACTTGCGTCTGTGACGTGATAATCGAACATCATGTTGCAGTGTTGGATGTCAGCTGTGCCATCTACCATGCTGGTCTGTCAATAGAGAGGAGAACTAATGCTCATCGTCAGTTCATCGAGGATAAGATTCAGGTACAAATGCAGATGATTGGAGTTTGATGCTGAATGATTGCATCTATAACTCCTCTCTGTCCATTGATTGTCCTGGGTCCCAAAGAGATTCTGGTCATGTATGTGGGTAGATCTGTGGCATGTGCTGTGATGGTATCTCCCGTTTATGCACATGAATCTTGCTGGTTATCGTTTCTATAGAGAGGTTTCCTAGGTATGGGTGCGTGATGCTGCTCATAGTTGCCATGATAATGTTTTCTCACTAAGGGTGCATGATGCAGGTTATAGTTGCTGTGGTATTATTTATTAGGTATGGTTGTATAATGCAGCTGATAGTTACTATGGTGATAGTTGTCACATTAAGGTGTGTATAGGTAGGCATTGCAGGTGAGAACTGTGACAGATCTGTTGTCTAGTTATAGGTGTGTGATACAGGTGGTAATTGCCATGACTATAATTGCTATACAGTATTATTTTTGTGGTTATGCATTGCAGGTGATAGTTGCGACAGTGGCATTTGGCATGGGCATAGACAAGCCTGATGTACGACGCATCATCCACTATGGAGCACCTAAAGACACAGAGTCCTATTACCAGGAGATCGGGCGTGCTGGTAGAGATGGTGCCCCCAGTGTTTGCCATGCATTCTACTCCCCAGCAGACTTCTCTGTTAACAGGTGTGTGCTGTACTAGCCTTTATTCTCATTCTACTAGTCTAGTTGTTCTCAACAAGTTTGCTCTATATGGTTACACTCTTCTAGTGTCATGAGGGTAATAGGAATTTTTTAGGTCAACTGAATGAAAAATGCGCATTCGATATATTCCCAGTTTTGTTATCTGAAATGCAACATATTTTGAACGTTTGAATTATTTATAACTGAAATTAAAGTTGGCATTTATGGTTATGTTGCTAGAAATGAGTGTAGGTATAGAGATTCTGTTGTAGTAGCAATGTAGATGATGTCCTGCAATACATTGTGTCTCAGAATATATATATATATACAGGGTACCCACGGTCATTAAAAGTCATTAAAAGTCGTGGAAAATGGATTTTGGTTTTCCAGGCCTTGAAAAGTCATGGAAAATGGGGAAAGTCATTAAAAGTAATTAAATTTGAGATTTTCCTGGAGCATTTTCTTCTGTCAAGTTTTTGTAATATTTGAAATCATTATCATTATAAATAGCCCCACTCACACGGTCCCAGTCACCTTGCCCAACAGAGGGAAGGAAGCAAAGCCCCCAGTGTGCATAATACACATATTTTTGTTTGAATGTTTTTTATGGCTACATTGTGTCTCAAATATTATACAAAAGCTATTGATTTCAGGATCATACATTATGTTAAATAAAGTTTATTAAAAAAAAAAATTGAAATCGATGCACTGATGTATGATTCGTTATTATATGCAAAAATCTTCTCAAATTAGTCATTAAATTCAGAAATTTTAGTGATGAAAAGTCATGGAAAAGTTATTAAATTTCACTCCAGGTGATCTGTGGGAACCCTGTATATATAATATATACATCTATTGCTTTAATATTTAATATGAGTTAATATGTGTATGATGTTTATATGAGTATGAATCAGAGACTCCCTGCAGAGTAGTGATAACTAAGTCCACACTGTCACATAGATTCCTACTCAAAGATATCAAGTCCGAGCAATTTCGACAGCATAAAATGGACATGCTGTCCAAAATGGAGCAGTACCTTTCGACCACCAGGTGTCGTCGGCGTGCCATCTTAGAGTACCTAGAGGACAAGGAAGTCAATGACGTAGGCGGTACTGACAATTGCTGTGATAATTGCGCTCGCAGGTATGCATGTTTTTCTCTGGCATTTTCCTTCATCATTTTTTATTAAATGTCGGCACTCGGATTATTTGCGCCACTGCGTCATGAATGTCTACGTTCAGAATTTCTGGTAATTGAAAGAAAAAGAATTTAAAGCCGGGATAAAGTGGAATTCCATGAGCAAATGTATTTTAATATTTATGACAACCTTCCGCACACTACCTTAGCGTCATTTACATTTGTTTATCATTGCTACTATAGGTTAAAATTAGCCAAGCAGGGCTCGAGGAGCGGATTAGATCAACTAGACAAGATGGGGGAGACCATTGACTACAGCAAGGAAGCCAAAGATCTCCTCACTGCTGTCGCCAGTCTAGATGGGAACTTTGGCATCAACATGAGCATCCTATTTCTCCGTGGCTCGGTTAGATATTTTCACCTTTTAGTCAGAGACTATAGGTATATGTCAATGAGTCATATGTCGATTGAGAAAGCCAAATCTGGGGCGATGTGAATTCTTGTCGGAATTGTAAAGACACCAGGCAAGAAGTTTTCTTTGTGGATGCTATTTAGGCTGGCAATTTTTTTATTTGAATTTTGGCTGTTTGTATCAGCAGAACTCCTTGTCATTGCAGATGAATCAGAAGATGCCACGCTATCTGACCAGCCACGAGAACTTTGGCTGCGGCAAATATCGAGCGGAGAAGTGGTGGAAGGCGTTCGGTCGCGTCATGCTCTCTGAGAAGTACCTCAAAGATCAGCCGATTCCACGCAGCTTTGGCTCCACAGTAGACCTATCTGCAAAAGGAAGGAATTGGCTGAATTCTAGCAGGTGCCATAGCAGTAATAGCAGTAGTTGTAGTAGAAGTACATGTTGCATTAGCGGTAGTGACAGTCAGAAAGATTTTCATGTGATGTGTTGATAACTTTCTGGTACCATCAGTTTGGAACAGGTAATAGTTTTTTGTTTTTGTTGTTACTGTTGTTTCTCGTAATCATCGTCTGTCAGGTGTGTTTTATATATGCCATTTACTTTTTGATCCTAATTGTGAGTATCAGTTGGTATAATACAACTGAAGTTACGCTTCATCAAAACATCAATGAAATTTTCATTTTATATTATGCAGGAGCGGTAAAAATCCGGAACTGAAATTGGTGCCAAATCAAGAAATGCTACTTATGCAAAAGGAGAAAACTGAGATTAGTTATGCACCAAGGTATGACATATGATGTCAATCACCGGGTTACTCAGCAATTATCTAATGATGTTTAATTTTGCAGTAATATTAATGCATTACCAGTGATGTATGATAATGCAGTGCTGCTGCATCAATGATGAACGATATAACAATCCTCTTTAGTTAAAGGGAGAGTTTACTCTAGGTTCAAGGGTTATTTTCAGCTAATTTAGGTTATAATTACGCTACATAAAAAGTTTCATGGTTCAAGCACCATTAGAAATATTAAAAAAAAATGTTTTAAAACAAACGACTACAGTTTGATTACAACGACGGTGGCGCCACTCAAAGCGCACGATCTGATAAGTTGCGCAAAACCACTTTCCAGCCAAGGGCTACTGACCGAGGGTGTTTCTTATTTATTTATTTAAAAGCAAAAGGATTGTAATATCTTATAAACGACATATAGTTTCAGTTATAATATGGATAAATTTGCCCTAAAATGAATATCGTTCGGTTACATAACATTTAGGTATAAATGTAATTGCACTTTTGTGATTAGCCCTCGGTCTGTAACGTGCAAAATAAATTCTCAAATACGCAACTTTTTCGGGGTGGCAGCACGGTCGCTGGTGTCATGGCCCCGTTCAAATTTCGTAGCGTTCATGTGTAATTAATTATAACAATTAAATTGGGTATCTGGTAACAAATACCTTTTGGTATAGACGATTTGTTATACATTTAGTACAGTTGTATGCAGTAAAATCCTAGAGGCTACTGTCCCTTTAATGATATATAATACAGCAATATAGCACCAGCAACAATTTTTCATCCTGCAGTGTCGTATCAACAATGTTGATAATATACAATATATGATGATTATGATCATTTTTGTACTGCCTATTAATGATAATAATTTAGTGAACAGCTATTTTGGTTATGATTGAATTTATCTCCTAAATATCTTTCAAGGATATTGCCCTCTGTGCCAGTGGAATCCTGGCAATCGACACAAGATTTGGGATCTAATCAGTTTCGTAAGCCAGAGCCACTGGATCCTCAGACAGTTCAACTACAGGTGTGAATTCCAAATTATAGTTAATCAATGGTCACAACCAATTATCAGGGATGAGAATTTTCCGCCGATCAGTGGAATTCCGCCAATTTGACAGACGCATGAATCGTGGAAATCCGTTGGGAAAAAAAGTTTGGGTCATGGGGAACGCTTCAAATCTGTTGTTAAAATTGAGTAAAAGTAGTTGTTAAAGTATGGCTTTTGCAAATACCTAAATTGAGCTAGAATGTATCTATCTCCACATGGCCTAAAGATGCCGTTACAGAGTCCATTTTTCTCAAAATTTTTTTAGTTAATCAATGGTTATAACCAATTATCAGGGATGAGAATTTTCCGCCTTTGCTGGGGGCACCCCTCCCGCACCCTCCGCACTTGGCAGCTACGCCGCCTCGTACTTGTCCTTCGTTATCTTTTCCTCTTTTTTCCCTTCTTGCTGTTCTCAACCCTGATTATAGATGAATCTAGCAAGTGTTTTGTTTGCATTTCTATAGTGTTGTAGATTAAGTCTGTCTCCCATAAATGGCCTCCAACTTCTTTGCAAGTTCTAGAAAGGGAGCACTTATATGTTTATCACCCACTATAAGCCAGTTCGTAGTTAGCCAAGGGGTTGTGTGACGTCACAGGTCACCGGGTCATTTGTGACAAAAATCGATGAAATCTCGAGTGCGGCTTGCGCTCTCGGTTCAGTACGTATATGTACATGTATTCTGTGTACGTGTACACGCACGCATGTGTACGTGCACGCACGCACGCACGCATGCACGTGTACGTTCGCACGTACGTGTACGTGCACAAGTACGTACGCATGCACGGACGCACGCGCGCACATGTACGTGCACACGGACGCATGCACGCGTGCACGTGTATGTGCGCACGCATGAACGTGTACGTGCACACGGACGCACGCACGTGTACGTGAACACGCGAAGATTGTAGCATTACAACGACACAGATACATGCGTATGTACTGTATGGTCGAAATACGAAATATTTTGTCACAAATGACCTGACCCGGAAGAATTCGTGGCAAAGTTCGTGCATGCGCACACTGTAATTATGAACTGGCTTATTCATGGTTTGCTATGGTTATTTCCGTGTTGGCTCCAATAAAGTTTGTTCGTCTTGTGGAAGTCGAGTTGTATTTATGTGAATTTCCTATATATTTTTTCAGGGAGAGTTGTACACAAAATTACTGGCGCTAAGGAATGAGATAGCAGATGAAATTGGTGCTGCCCCCTATATGATTGCGAGCAACAAGTGTCTCCTTGAAATGACAACAATCAGGTACAGTGTAGAAACATGTGCTCTGCATTCAAGTTTTAAGGAAGCATTAAGATTTTCAGTTTTATGTGATGTTATGAAGCAAAATTCTTATGAATGTAAAATTAATTGTCAAAATCCCTTTAAAAATATGCACAATCCAACTAATATATAGGTACATCGAACTAATATCAAAATTACAAGAGCACCAGTAGGAAAGCAAAACATGTGTTTGTTATTATTAAAACATGGTTTGCACAGTCCTTGAAAAGTCCTTGAATTTGAGGGGAGTCCTTGAAAAGTACTTGAATTTAGTAAATGTTGATTTTGTGCTTGAAAAGTCCTTCAATTTCATGAAAATGTCCTTGAATTTTTAGAAAGAATCCTTGCCTGTAATAAAAAGAAATTTTGTACCATCAATAATGTGCAAACCTCAATAAAAATTGCGTTAAATGAGCTTGAAAAGCTATAGACACGATAGACAGTTAAATGATGATCACAAATTACAGTAAGTCAGTGAAATCAGTCAGTAAATCAAGGTATGTTGTAGAAGTGTCAGTGTTTAGAAGGGTTTATTAATGTGATCCAGGTAAGTTTTAGGGGTGACATGCAGTGATTAAGAATGGGGTTATTAAATTAATCCAGGTATGTTTTGTTCTGTGTATGAATTCCGATAAAATGTCTAATAAAATATCCTTGAATTTCCGATAAAATGTCCTTGAAAAGTCCTTGAAAAAAATTTCAGTCCTGTATGAACCATGTAAAGTATATTGTTTATAATTTTTTATTTAAGACCCAGAACAGTGGAGGGCTTGTACAAAATAGAAGGTTTGCCAGAGGCAAGAATCACTAAATTTGGCCATCGCATGGTGGAGCTAATTGTCAATTTTAGTGAAAAGAATGACATGGGCACTGACAACTTTCCAGAGGAGTCAGTGGTGGTGAGTAGTTTTGCAGACATTGGTCTCTATGTCTATGTCTATAAGAATACTGCGCAAGGCCTGTTAGGGCATGATGCGCAGGGGTCGTCTGGCCCGCACAATGTTCATAAACGGTCTTGTTCCTTCCACTGCTAATACCATATGACCCTGTCACACCTTGACGACTTACCAACGAAAGCCAGTGTATACCGACGTTTGAAAAATTTGGTGAATACGCTGGCGTACGTCGAATAAGTTATGGGTAAGCTTTGTATAAGTTAAGAGCACGCTGAAGAACGCTGAAGAACGCTGAAGCACGCTGGTATACGTCGTAGTACGGCGAGTACGTCGGAAAATTTTGAGAAATTTTTCATACGTCGGTATACGCTGTCTTTCGTTGGTAAGTCGTCAAGGTGTGACATTGCCAATATATGGTTCTGAGGTAATGCCTTTAGGCTACAGTACCAGAAACTGGATGCTTGCATCATATGTATTGCGAAATGAAATTCCGAATAAATAAATCGAGAGCAATATTAAAATGTAAGTAGGAAAAGTAACTTAATTAATTATTACAATCATAATAACCATAGGCTGTGAAATTCACAAAAGCAAAAATTACGTAATTAAAATGTATGTGATATAAGATTTCTATAGAAATTCATAACTATGTCTACGTTTTTAGAAGAATAGCAAGTTGCAGTATAGCTTGATGCAGTTGTCAGAGACAGCAAGAACATCATATGGCTTGTTTGAACAGCAGATGACGAGCTTAGTAAGTATAAGATGATTATATTGACTGCGCATTTCTTCTTGAAAGATTAAATCTGCTAACCACTAAATTTCATGCATTTTCTTGTTTGCGCATCATGTAATTTACTAACTTGTATCATAAACTAATCACCTTTTAAGAATTACACATCTTTTGGCACTGTGATGTGCTCCATAATTTTAGGGAAAAAAACATTGAAGGTCAATAAAATTAAGAATTAGGATTTAGTGTTTGAAAGCGGAATTCAAAATCACATTAAGACTAATGGCTGTCGTGGGAAGATCTATGCATACTTCACTATGCCCAAACCACCCAATGGTTATACAATCGACATAGCTGGTTTGAAGATTGAATGAATAAAGCACATGCAAAGATAGTAGTTTTAATAATATGATGAAAAAATAAACACTCGTGTTCAGCTTGGTTAAACCAGTGACAAAAAGGCTAGGCACTTACTTTGTTACAGTTGTTGGTCAGCTTTTTCTTACCAGTCTTGAATAATTAACAATGTTGAAAAAACTATATTTAAACCCGAATTGTTTCTGAATGCCTGTTTGCTTATTTGCTCATAGGAAGTGGTAGCCACTACACGAGGCCTTAAAACTTCAACAGTTATTGGCCACTTGGCTGATGCCATCAAGTATGGCTTGCCTGTTGACACTGAACGCATAGGAATGACCAAGGACATACAGCAGATTATCATCAGTGCTATCAGGGCACCGCCCATCAACTCTGGTAACAAACTTTTATAGCTGCTGAGAAAAGCTGCTGTTATATTTGTTAATGACACAAATGTGATATAAAGGCAAGTATATGATATAAGAAAAACACTATCTTTTCTATATATTACTGATACAAGATCCTGGATGTGATAAAAAAAATCAAGTACAATGTGTACAAATTGGCAGCACTGTTGCAATGGATCTGTCAAATACCCTGCATTCATATATTTTTGCTCAACAGGGTATCATATGCTGAAGATAGTCATTCTCTTGTTAGATGTATTTTAGACATTAGGATATGATTTAATATGAATAAGCAGCCTCATATGAGCAATTCTATGTTAGCAGTCATCATTATACAATGGATATACCCAGGGCACAAAATTCAGATTTTTTTGCACCGGCCCAGAGGGCTGGTAACAGGAATTTCTTACCAGCCATCACCATAATTTACGAGCCCTCATAAATTTTGTTTGTAAAATCAATGTCATGTTTCACGCTTGCATTTTCGATTTCAAATTTGTAAAATGTTGATAAATTATGGCATGATATCCTTCAGGTAAAACAGTAATGTAGGCTATTTGCTCATTAATGCTATAAATAATGAAAGTGTCAATGACACTGTAGCTCACCACAAAAAAGGACACAAATGAGTGAGTGAGAAGAAGTCAGTTTAAATTGAGCAACCATCGACGTACATTATAGAAACGAAGAGTATATATGGGAGAACTCCCATTATATACTCTTGATAATTATATGTGTAATTTTTTATGTGAGAATAAATGTTTGAGATGTGAAAGTCTGAGATGTGGGCGAGTGATGGCGTTACACCTAAATGATCGCCATTTAACGTTTTTATAATATTCAGATTTAGGCACTGCCTAAAAGCGGAGCTCCCGATGTGTAACGTGTAAGATTGAGAGGATACGCTTATTCCACGTAGCTGCTATATACCACATGACAATGGTGTTTCCCTGCCCATAACACAACTTTTGTGAAAGGTTAATTGGTTGCATGGAAGTGTTTACTTCCAATGAGTTTTTCTAGGCGGTAGCACACGGTTGCCATCTGTATATCGCAATAATAATTTATAAACCAAAATGAATCGCAATTTGTGACGGTAGATGGCGCTATACCCGGTTTGATGTTTCTTAGCGATGGCGTTCGAAATAAATAGGTTATGCTGCGTTCCGACATGTTTTGTAAAACTTTACTCTAATATAGACGTTTTATCGGCAGGGTGGAGAGAAAATACCAATTTTGCATTAAAGATATTGTCAATGAAATCTTGTAAAACGAACCAGATGAGTGTGACACCACAGACTGTTATCTGCGTGTCTATATAATATGCTATATAATTGCCAAAACCTACGTAATTTGCATATTTTTTTGCAATTCCCATTGCAACTACCTAATTCCCATTTTTGCCAAAAAATTGCCGTGGCTCGAAAGTACGTTGACTGGCGTGCTCCACAATAGGACGGTCAAACCTCTGCCATAGCAGTAACAACTATACCCAATTTCAAACATGTGGGTGAAATGGTTCCTGAGTTATCGTTGACCGTAGCCAAATGTTGACGGAAGGACGGAAGGACGGACGGATGGACGGACGTACGACGGACGATGACCCATGGCAATAGCTCATCTTGACGATGTCAAGGTGAGCTAAAAAATGTAGGTACTCGCTAACACGGGCTGAAACCACCGGCTCGGAGGGCCGGTGTTTTGCCAATGTTACTGGCCCTCTAAATAATTTGTCAGCATATGCTGGTGGGCCAGTGTTAATTTCGCGCCCTGGATACCTATCTATCAATGACAGTTCGTGTTATCGTGCAGTACAACCATAGTGTAGTAAAGCACCTCTATAGAATGGCCGCCTGTTTATAAGGGTAATCTTTTCCAGGGTTCGTAGCGGGTCTTCCAAAGTCTTATAAGTACTTATTTTGCCTAAAATAAAATAAGGGCCCTTATTAGTACTTATTTTTGGTGAAATCTTAGAAAAGTACTTAATTGTCCTTATTTTTTCTCGACTTAGAGTAAGAATTGTTGTATATATAATACAGAATAATTAAATCTGCCGTGCAATTGTGTATATAAATATTGTTAGTGTACTTTAATAGTCGGTGATCTATCAGAAATCGCGTAAAAAAGTCTTCTTTTGGCCTCCAGAAAGGGTCTTATACGTCCTTATTTCAACATGTGTCTTACTACTATGAACCCTGTTTTCCATCTCCATTGAATTACCCTTATATGGGTTTTGACTATCACGACGCGTTTACTAAATAAAATGTTGTTTTTTCACATATTTTCAATGACTTGCGTGATGAGGGGCAAGCATCGAGATAGTTACCTCGTGTGATCATCACTGAATTTTTTCAGACATCAGTCGTCTGACTCCGATCAAGAATGTGCTGCCTGACTATATCGAGTACGGCCACATCCGCATCGTCATAGCGATCCTGCAGCGACAGTTTGACATGACTGATGCGGGCACCATTGAGGAGCAGCCGCTCACAGCACTGCCATCTGTGGCCCCATCGCAGGTGTGTAATGCACCGTCAGTAACATATATAGTTACATTATCTATGGTTGCCAATTTTTTAATAGGTTCTGGGTTCCAAAAGCGTCAGTCGGAACTTAAGAAGTTGGATCCGGTACACACCTCATCATATAGATCTAGTATAGCAAAACATTTGCAGATGAACTGTCGTTATCAAGTGTTATTACATCGTCATACTATACTCATAACTAGCTATGAATTTTCTTAGAATCGGGCCCTATTCTCGATCCATGTCGATCGTGCATGGGAATTTGTTCTCTGGTAACACAGCCGTGTGTTTGCAGTCAGTCTCCCCTGCACGTGGTGAGTACCGCCGGCCCCTTAAAATGTCTCGTTTTACCATAAGCCATAACTATTGTTCACTGGTGCACAAAATAGCCTTCGTTGTATAGAGGAACACTGTCACACAGGTTAGGATAGTAATAATACTAATATATACGACTCTTGACTGGAACCTTTGAAATCTTTGGTGTGAGCAATTTGAATGCTACGAATCTTGATAATTGTTACATTGTGTACACTAAATTATTACTAATTGCATCTAATAATTTATAACTGTAGAAATTTTGCTTATTTAACTAAACTAAATTTGAATTTATATTAACCAATGTTCAGATGCTTCGTTATGCCAAACCTTGCTACTTATTTATGTTCTATTGGCATTTGGTGAAAATTATGAAATGGCATCATTACAGGAACACAGCTAATAGAGTGCTTTTGTGTTAAGAGTACAGATATGTTCATGTTATAGTATACATAATTTTACAATATTTTAACAGTTACCTCAGACGCACGCTAATGTCAGGGGATCACATGCAGATGACAAGAAATCTGGCTTCGCATCACATTCCCAGACCACTCTACACAGGTAGCATTTCACTATTGACTATTTCGACTTTCAGCACTATTGACCACTATGGCATTTTTGGGAGTTCTGTGGGACTCCCCCGTTGATATGAGATATTAGATGGTATACTTATGATCGAAATTTGTTTTTAGGAAGATACAAAATATCTTGGCAATTTTTGGCATTTCGATGTAAAAATACATACCTATTTTTCAAAGAGTTGGCAGTTGAACATACTAGTGGTTCTTTATTGCAAGTAGATGGCAGCAGTTGAGGATGTATGGAATTGTACGGTACAGAACATAGTGGCCCCAGTGGGTCAGTGGTCAGCTTGGCAATTGTCGTGCTGATGTCTGAGTTTCTATTGCCCCTTTAGGGAAGTGTTAATTAGATGTGTGCCACACTCAGTTTGTATGCAATGGGTTTACAAATAAATTTGTTTCTATTTAGAAAATTCACCCGGATACATTTTCTTCTTTACTTGCAGTTAGTGTGCTGGACTTGTTTGTATATATATTATACTAGCTATTACCCGTCCTCCAGACGGGTTTGAGTGGGGTCTGATTTGAGGATGGCGGTTTAACCATTTATCTCTCACTTTTAGTTGAGGATGTATTTACAGTAAACGAAAAATACTGATATTTAGACTCGAGTCATATATCAATATTTGTTTAAATTTTTGTTTATCTAAATATATATAAAATCTGAAATTTTACCTTAAAATGACATACAATTAATGACTTTACAATAAAGGTATAATAATAAGCATTTAATTAGGAGGAGCCTTTACCTAGCAT